GGACCTGCACTCCAGGTAGGACAGATGACGGGGGGGGGGGGGAGAGAACCTGGGTCCCCCTTTGTCTCAAGGGGTCCTTTTGCTCCTGCAGTTGCCCCTAAGGTGCCTGAGCGACAGAGGTTGTAAAGGCCACTCCCTTAACCCCTTCCATGCCTTCCTGTACCCTCCCAGACTGCCCCCTTCCGGTGTGCATTCCCTGCCTGGCACGATCTCTGACAAGGGAATCTGCTTTTTCTTTTCAGTCTCCATTTTCCTTTGAGGAGGTGGCCGTGGATTTCACTGAGGGGGAGTGGGCCCTGCTGGATCCAGGCCAAAGAGCCCTCTGCCGGGAAGTCATGCTGGAGAACTACGGGACCGTGGCCTCCCTGGGTAAGGACCTTCCACGGGTGGGGAAGGTGCAAATTGCTGCCACTGGTTTGATGCAGGAATCGAACTATTGAACAGTAAAACGTGGTTTTGATGCCTGCCCAGCTACTTGCCCCTCGCTGGGGTGGAAGTGAAAGTGATGTTTAGCGTGGGTGGATAAACTGGGGCAACTGAGGCCGGTATTGTGGCCATCATCACCCAAACCAGAGAGGGTGTCCTGATCTGAAGCCAAGGCGGGGATGAGAGGCCTTCAGAAAGAAGAAAAAGAAGAAGAGGAGGAGGAGGAGATTGGATTTATACCCCGCCCTTCACTACCCCAAAGGTGTCTCAGAGCAGTTTACGAACTCCTTTCCCTTCCCCTCCCCATAACAGACACCCTTATGAGGTAGAAGAAGAAGAGACTGGATTTATACCCCGCCCTTCACTACCCAAAGGTGTCTCAGAGGAGCTTACAAACTCCTTTTCCTTCCCCTCCGCACAACGGACACTCTTGTGAGGTAGGCGGGGCTGAGAGAGCTCTGACAGAAACTGCTCTTTTTTCCAAGGACAGCTCTTATCAGAACTACGGTTTGCCCAAGGTCATCCAGCCAGGTGCAAGTGGAGGAGTGGGGAATCAAACTCGGTTCTCCCAGATTAGAGTCCACGCACTTCACCACTACACCAAACTGGCTCTCAGAAAGACGCTGGAAGGGGGCACAACTTAATTTCTCAGTTGTCAGTCTTTACAACATGTCCTTAAGAGCATAGGAACAGATGAACATAAGAAGAGCCCTGCTGGATCAGACCAGGGAGGGCCTGTCTAGTCCAGCCTCCTGTCTCACCCAGTGGGCAACCAGTTCCTCTGGAGGGCCAACAACAGGGCAGAGAGGCTGAGACCTTCCCCTGATAAGAACATCAAAAGAGACCTGCTGGATCAGACCAATGGTCCATCTAGGCCAGCATCCTGTCTCACTCAGTGGCCAACCAGGCCCTCTGAAGGGCCAACAACAGGGCATAGAGGCCTAGGCCTTCATAAGTACAGCCCTGCTGGATCAGGCCAGCAACAGGGCATAGAGGCGGAGGCCTTCAGAAGAACATCAGAAGAGCCCTGCTGGATCAGACCAATGGTCCATCTAGGCCAGCATCCTGTCTCACTCAGTGGCCAACCTGTTCCTTTGGAGGGCCAACAACAGGGCAAAGAACCTGTGATGTTGCCCTCTGGCACTGGGATGGTCCTGAATGCAGAGGTTCCTCTCAGTCACCGTGACTAGTAGACCTTTCCTCCATTAAGCTGTCTACTCCCCTTTTATTAAAGCTGTCTATTCCTGTGGCCATCGCTACAACCTCTGGCAGTGAATCCCACATTTTAATCACTCTCTGAGTAAAGAAATATTTCCTATCGTCTGTCTTGAATCTACTGCCCATGAGCTTCGTTGGATGCCCTCGAGTTGTAGTATTTTGGGAAGCAGAGAAAAAAATTATCTTTGTCAACTCTCTCCACCCCATGCGCAATTTTATACTGGTGCAAATCCTCAAGACTTTGGGCACGGAAGGGGACAAAGGCCCGTGAACCCTTTCCGCTGCCTTCACCTGGGATGTCTTCAGGTCTTACCACTTTTTGTTGTTGTTCAGTCGCACAGTCGAGTCCGACTCTTCGCGACCCCATGGACCAGCTCCTGCCAGGCCCTCCTGTCTTCAGCCGTCCTCTGAAGTTTGCTCAGTTTCATGTTCGTTGCATCTATGACACTGGGTTAGTATTTGGATGGGAGACCACCAAGGAATACCAGGGTCGCTATACAGAGGCAGACAATGGCAAACCACCTCTGAATGTGTCTTTGCTTGGAAACCCTGTGGGGTTGCCATAAGTCGGCTACAACTCAATGGCACTTTCCACCACCACCATTTCTTAAGTGTATTGGAAGGCAATGTATTCTCTCTCTTTCATATCCTAATAGGTGTCCACAGGGGAAACAGTCTTGGGTACTTCTTGGAACTGTTATCTTAGGGGAATATCCCATTGTCCCCAAATACAAAATACAGGACATGAAGTGCCATGGAAGCATAATGTCTGTACAGTAGAAACACATCCCGAGGGACCTTGGAAACCTAAATTGCTGTCATTGTTGTTATCAGGATCCAGTCCATGTGGTGAGTCCTGTTATTGACATCATCAACTTGGATACTTTTGCTTATGTGGCAGCTTCTTCAGACCTGAGAGGAGGTGAGCCTGAAAACAACTTGCATGTGGACAGCTGACTTTTCCAAGAGGGCTGCTTACAATATTGTAAGGGGAATAAGAAATCCTGAAGGTACTGCACAGTTCAAATGTTACCTTGATGAGGATTACTTAAACTTCAGGAGAGTTTTGATATTCTTGGAGTTTTGATTTGTTGCTAATCGATTAAGGTCCCCTTGGAATCCACCGTTACATTTCAACGGCTAGTAATAATTTCTTCAACAGATAGCAAGACCTATGACAAAGCTGAGGTAGAGGATAGATCAATCAATTACATTTTGTGAGCTAGCATATCACAAATCATCTTCTTCTGATAAATATGGACCAGCAGAAGGATACAAAAGAACCCATAAACTGGATATTAAAATAGTAACTCTTAATCCTTAACTCATTTCAGGGTTTGGGATCATCTCCTAAATAGACTAAAAGTCTTATGGGCTGGGTGATTTGAATGATTATATGATGAGTCTTGATTTCAATAGCCACTTCAAACTTTTCTGTACCTGCTGTTGATTTTGTATTTAGGGTTTGATTGGAGCCTACATTTTAAATGGGAACAGCTTTCTCCAGAGCAGAAGTCAAAGCGAACTGACCCTACGGAGCCCATCAAGTAAGTGACAAGACTGAAGAAGATGAAAAGTGGAATGGAGGGTTCTGGAAAGAATTGTAGAAGTACCGAAAAGATTCTTCACTTTAGTGTATATTGGATACATAGGCCTGATAAGAGTCTGACCAGAACTCAGAAAGTTAGAGAGACTTCACTTGATTACAAAGTAAATGGATGTGTTTATCTTGATTTTTTTGTTTTAAGTAGTCCATAGTGGCCCCACTGGTGGACCTCTTGATGGCACCTGGTATTTCTGGCCACTGTGTGACACAGAGTGTTGGACTGGATGGGCCTTTGGCCTGATCCAACATTGGCGTCTCTTATGTTCTTATGTTCTTATAGTCCAACTCTCGCAGCCATACAATACTACTGGGGATACCACTGCTTTGACCATGCGGACTTTTGTTGGCAGGGTGATGTCTCTACTTTTTATCATGCTGTTTAGGTTCGCCATCGCTTTCCTCCCAAGGAGGAGGCGTCTTTTAATTTCATGGCTGCAGTCACAGTCTGCGGTCTTACCACTACCCCCCCAAAAAAGAAAACTGGCACATGTTCCAAAAAACCACTGGGGGGGGGGTTGTATTGAGGACCTCAGTTTTTAAAATGTTGGCGCCACCCTCACAGCAATCAAGCATTCTTGGGAGCCCTCCTGGCTCTTGTCACAAGTGGAAGGAAATTCAGTGCAGTTGCAGGACTGGATATCGTGATAACTTCTTGTGTTTAATTCTCAAGGGCAGAGAATCAAAAGAGCTGTGCAGAAACTCAAACGCAAACAGTGGGGGAATCATCCTTTTATTTTTTATTTTTAAAAATGTATTATTAGATGTATTGCCCGCCCTCCCCGCAAGCGGGCTCAGGGCGGTTCACAGACTAGGCACATATGCCAATAATTAAAACAGTTAAAAACAAGATAAAACAATCATTTATAATCATTTATCACAAGACAAGGTGCTCTTGGCGTCTCAGAAAGGTCTTCAGTCACAGGATGGCATCCTGGGGGTGATGGTCCCAGATCGATGATATCAGTTCCAGGCAGGGCTGTCGTTCATTTGTCACAGGGACATCTCACCCCCCGATGTTGCCCAACCCAGGTGGTGGTGGTGGTGCAGCGGTGGCGGCTCCTACTCGAAAGCCTGGCGGAAGAGCTCCGTCTTACAAGCCCTGCGGAACTGCGCAAGGTCCCGCAGGGCCCGGATCTCCTCCAGGAGCTCATTCCACCAGGCAGGAGCCACCACCGAAAAGGCCCTGGCCCTGATTGCTGCAAGTCTGGCATCTTTGGGGCCTGGAATCACCAGGAGATGTTGCGTCCCTGACCGTAGTGCCCTTGGGGGAACATATGGGGAAAGGTGGTCCCTTAGGTATGTCAGGCCCTGGCCATATAGGGCTTTAAAGGTTTGCCACTTTTTCCCTTAAAGTACCTACAGGGGGGGAGGGGAGGGTTAGGCATAACATAAGAACAGCTGTACTAGAAGACCTGGATGGGGCAAGGTGTGACCAGCTACTCAGTATGGTTGGAAAGAAGTTCTGATAAATGAATTCAACACCCATTAATGACCAGAGCCTGATTGGTGGTTTGGCTTCTTGTGTGGGTTCTAACAGGATCTCTCTCTCTTTATTCCAGCAGGGGATGATCAGACGAACGAGGAAAATGAGGAACTTCGTCACCTATTGCCAGATGGAGTCAAGAATGAAGAGTTGAGAGGAAACTTGGGGGATCAAGGCAGACCGAAGAGGCAAAAAGGAAGCCACGTGATCGAGAAGAGGGATAAAACCATTCCTTTCCAAGGGGGGGATTTCCATGAATTAAATCACATGGTGGAGGAAGCATACAAGTGCTTGGAGTGTGGAATGAACTTCTCAGATCAAACCCAATATAATATCCATTTACGAATGCACAGTGGAAGGAAGACGCATCAATGCCTGGAGTGTGGAAAGAGCTTCCTTTGCAGAGCAGAACGAATTAGGCATCTAAGAATACATACAAGAGAGAAACCTGATAGCAGTTCACACTGTGGCAAGAGCTTCTCAGAGAAGTCAGACTTTGTTCATTCAGGAGACAAACCATTTACTTCCTCAGAGGATGGAATGACATTCTCTGATGGAAAAAAGGGTAATATACATTTTCCAAAGCACGGCATAATGAAGGCCCATAAATCTTTTTGGTGTGGAAAGGACTTGAAATACAGATCACAGTTCCTTGCGCATCGAAGAATACACAGAGGGGAGAAATGTAATGAGAATGTAGAGAGTGGAAAGCGGTTGAGTCAGACTGGTACTCTTAAACAGCATCAAAGAATGCACGCAGGGGACAAACCTTATAAATGTTCAGAGTGTGGAAAGAGGTACAGAGATAGTGGCGGTCTTCAATATCATCAAAGAACCCACACAGGGGAGAAACCTTTTGAATGCTCAGAGTGTGGAAAGAGATTCATTCACAGTGGCCATCTAAAGGTGCACCAAAAAATCCACACGGGGGAGAAACCTTTTGAATGCTCAGAATGTGGAAAGAGATTCAATAAGAGTAGCACTCTTACACGGCATCAAAGAACACACACAGGGGAGAAACCTTTTGAATGTACAGAGTGTGGAAAGAAATTCAGTCGGAGTTGCTCTCTTCATCTGCATCAAAGAACCCACACAGGACAGAAACCTTTTGAGTGCTCAGAGTGTGGAAAGAAGTTCAGTCAGAGCAGCACTCTTCAGCAGCATCTAAGAACCCACACAGAGGAGAAACCTTTTGAATGCTCAGAGTGTGGAAAGAGATTCCGTCAGAGTGGTGCTCTTCACCAGCATGAAAGAATCCACACAGGGGAGAAACCTTTTGAATGCTCAGAGTGTGGAAAGAGTTTCCGTCGCAGTGGCGAGCTCCAGCGACACCAGAGATCCCACACAGGGGAAAAACCTTTTGAATGTTCACAGTGTGGAAAGAGCTTCACCTTTAGAGACCACCTTCAACAGCATCAGCGAACCCACACAGGAGAGAAACCTTTTGAATGTTCAGAGTGTGGAAAGAGATTCAGTCAGAGCGGCCATCTTCAACATCATCATAAAACCCACACAGGGGAGAAACCTTTTGAATGTTCAGACTGTGGAAAGAGATTCACGCAGAGTAGCAGTCTTCAATATCATCAAAGAACCCACACAGGGGAGAAACCTTTTGAGTGCTCAGAGTGTGGAAAGAGATTCAGTCACAGTGGTAGTCTTCAAGAGCATCTAAGAACCCACACAGGGGAGAAACCGTTTGAATGCTTAGACTGTGGAAAGAGATACAGTCGGAGTGGCAGTCTTCAGTATCATCAAAGAACCCACACAGGAGAGAAACCTTTTGAATGCTCAGAATGTGCAAAGAAATTTAGTTGGAATGGTGAACTTCAGCGTCACCGGAGAACCCACACAGGAGAGAAGTCTTTTGAATGCTTAGAGTGTGGAAAGAAATTTCATCGGCGTGGCGAGCTTCAGCAGCACCAGAGAATCCACACAGGAGAGAAGCCTTTTGAATGCTCAGAGTGTGGAAAGAGATTCCGTTGGAGTAGCACTTTTCAAAAACATCTAAGAACCCGTGTAACTGCTTAGCCTGTGAAAAGAGCTTTTCTCCTATTTGACACCTAAAAGATAACCACAGGCTGTGCAAAGCATTGAAATGGTGTAAAGTGTTGTAAAGAGCTGCAATCTACACAGCCACTTTACCCTATTTGGGAAGAAATGTTACAAATGCTAGGACTGTGGATAGAGCTTTAGCTACATTCAAAAGTTCAAATGGATCCCACAGGGAAGAAAGCAAGGATGGGGGATGAGTTTTGTGGGTTGAAGGATCAGCTGATATCTCTGTAGCATGGAGGAGTTCAACCAGGGGAGGAACCTCATCAATGTTCAGTGTGTAGCAAGAACCTGAGGCATAGATCCAACTTTCATGTTCCTCAGAGAATCCATACAAGGGTGAGCTTCTATAGTAAAGTAAAGGTAAAGTTTCCCTTGCTCGAAAGCCAGTCAAATCCGACTCTAGGGTTGCGGTGCTCATCTCCGTTTCAAAGCCGAAGAGCCAGTGCTGTCCGAAGATGTTTCCGTGGTCATGTGACCGGCATGACTAAACACCAAGGCGCACGGAATGCTGTTACCTCCCCACCGAAGTGGTACCTATTTATCTACTTGCAATTTCTTGCCTTCGAACTGCTAGGTTGGCGGGAGCTGGAACTAGAGACGGGAGCTCACTCTGTCACGCTGCACACTCGGGTCTCGAACTGCTGAACTACCAACCTTCCAGAGCCTGCAGTTCAGCGTCTTAACCACTTGAGCCACCACAGCTCCTAAGTATTAAAGTACTGGCTACTAAATACAAAGCCCTCCATGGCCTTGGACCGTCATGTCTGCGAGATCTCTTCTCCCACTCTGTGCCACCACGACAGGTTTGCTCATCTGAGTGAGGTCTTCTGCAGCAGAGTCCCAGTGTACTAAATGACTCATAACATTACTTGGTTAAATGATTAGGGACTGTGCTCTATGCTACTGTGTTCAGCTTATTGAAACTAGTATCCTACTATGTAATTTTAGAATCATTTAATGTGTTGTAGTGAAACTTATGATTTTGCTTTAGTCCTGTTTTTAGATTTCTGATTTGTACTCCGATTATTTTGTTTATTAAATGCTCCAACTTGTTGACTGTATTGACTCTTATGAAATCGGCCTTGAGCACAAATGAGGAAGGCAAACAAGAAACAATGTAAATAAATAATATCTGTCTGAGGCTCCTCATCTCCCAAGTCACACCCTCTTTAATGCACAACCCCCAAATCTCCAGGAACATGTCAAGATGTAACTGGCAATGCTAGGAAGGGCCGCATGTTTGACACCCCGCCACAGACGGCGGCATCCTTTTCTGCCAAGAAGGCAAGATGGTAGTTTGGGGGGCCATCGTCCTCTGGTGGTTCCGGTCCTATCTGGCTGATAGGTCCCCAAACTGGGCCTAGGGGACCCCTGCTTGACATGTTAAGAACATAAGAGATGCCAATGTTGGATCAGGCCAAAGGCCCATCCAGTCCAACCAGGTGCCACCAGGAGGTCCACCAGTGGGGCCAGGACACTAGAAGCCCTCCCACTGTTGGCCCCCCCGAAGCACCAAGAAGACAGAGCATCCCTTGCCCCAGAGCCCCTATCTATACCACAGGGTCCCAGAGTTCTCTCTCTTGTGCTCCGTGCTTTGGATTCTGGAATATTCTGGGGGATTTTGAGAGTCTCAAAGGTATGTTTGGTGTAGTGGTTAAGTGTGCAGACTCTAACCTGGGAGAACCGGGTTTGATTCCCCACTCCTCCACTTGCACCTGCTGATGTGACCTTGGGTCAGTCACAAGCTCTGGCACAGCTGTCCTTGAAAAAGAGCAGTTTGTGTCAGAGTTCTCTCAACCCCACCCACCTCACAGGGTGTCTGTTGTGGGGGGGGAAGGGAAAGGAGTTCGTAAGCCGCTCTGAGACTCCAAGTGAAGGGCGGGGTATAAATCCAATCTCCTCCTCCTATGTGAGGTTCCTTGAGGTATTGGACAGGAGTGATTTCCAGTGTCTTCTCCCTCCTTCAAAGAGGCGTCTGGCTTCATTTTCCCCCCATGAGCTAGAAGAATGACCAAGCAAGGCCGAGTGGAGTCACACTTTTCTAAGCCCTTCAAAGTAAATTTTCATTTGGACTTGAAAAGTACACAGACGGAGAGTGATTTCAGCAAAGCGTACTTTATTCGATCAGGAACAAGACGACTTTGGCCGGCTCGCAGGCCGGCTTATATCCCCCCCCACCCGAGAAACCGCCACCCAAAACACACCCCTAATTCCCAATAGGTTATTTACAGTGGCCAAGAGTCCTATAGGCTCTCGGCCGGGAACCTAGCCCCCTGATTGGAGCGGGCTGGGATCCGCGTAGTCCATTGTCTCTTGGAGCGAAGCTCGGCGTTTGTCTCTGGACTTCTCTGGACTGGATACATTACAGGTCTGTCAAAGAAGGATGACGAAGATATGGGGTGGGAGAACTTTCCAGTACTTTCTTTTTCTGCTAAAGCATCTCCATTTCTAAAGATGTAGTGTTAGTGGTTAAGTGCATGGACTCTAATCTGGGAGAACCGGGTATGATTCCCCCACTCCTCCACTTGCACCTGGCTGGATGACCTTGGGCAAGCCGTAGTTCTGATAAGAGCTGTTCTTGAAAAGAGCAGTTTCTGTCAAGAGCTCTCTCGGCCCCACCTACTTCACAGGGTGTCTGTTGTGGGGAGGGAAAGGAGTTTGTAAGCCACTCTGAGACTCTAAGTGAAGGGCAGGGTATAAATCCAATCTCCTCCTCCTCCTCCATTTTATATTCTAATAGCTAAACTGGCCAGATCTGTGGATCCCAAAATCTGTGGACCAGGCTCATTTACACACAAAGATTTGTGGAACTCCCCACATTTGCAGCAGAATCTGAAAATAGGGAGAAGACCCTGATGCTGGGAAAGATTGAAGGTCAAAGAAGACGGGGACGGCAAAGGATGAGATGGTTAGACAGTGTCATAGATGCAATGAACATGAAGTTGAGCAAACTTCAGAGGACGACAGAAGACCGGAAGGCCTGGCGTGATCTGTGTCAATATTACGCGGTGTCGGCCCACAGCAGACCAAACATGGGTGCAATGGTATCCAATAAAGACTGGAGTCTCTCAGGCTTATGTACAAATAATATACAGTTTATTATACAAGCCTCTCACCAAATCTTTACACAGAGTGACGTAATGCTCCGCTGCGCTCGCATTCCAAGAAGGAATGAACAGTTCTGTACATCACTGAATATATACAACCACTGGCCAATCACAGCCAGTGCTGAGTCACTGTGACTCAGTGCTAATTAGCTCCAGCAGTAGCCAGCCAGAACCGGTCAGAGCCAGCTCTAATGACACTTAGAGCTGTCAGCTCCTGTCAGTTAGATGCCTCAGATCTACAGCATGACTTAACACTATACATAGAATACTGACACTCCCCCTTTAAGTCATAGCTGCCATACCAAGTTTGTGCTTCAGCACTTCAAACTTTCTCACATATAGGCATCAAATTAATAAGTCAGCCACATGTTGTCATGTACAATGGTTAGCTATATCAAGCCTCACACCATTACATATTTACATTTTTACATCACATTTTGTATTTACAAGCATACAATCACTTTGTTATTTTGTTTTGTTGGTCACAGTAAA